CACTCTGTTATCAAAGAACCAGGGATTACGTTAAGTAACCCAACGTTTCTTCTTGTTTCAAGTATTTTTTTTCCTTACTGCAGTTGCCCTGAAGTAAACTACTCCTCATTTAAAAATAAAAAAATACGAAATACGAAAATCTAATGTGCAACATTATCCAGACCTACAAATGACTTCAAAGCATGATAGGTTGACTGAAACAACATATCAAGCTTAACCCAACTGGACTAACCTACATAAAGGAATTGCGGTTAAAAGTAGTTGTAGACATATCTAGATTGAACTGGTGCTATGGACTTGCTCCAAAGTTCATGTTTTTAGTGAAACAGTGAAATGTATCTTTATCCAGCAGAAGTCTCATTCACAGACTTATCTTGTTTACAGACAAACCCTATTTGTAAACCTCATTCAGACAAGGTAATTTCTAATACCCGTGTGTGGGTTTACATCACCAAGTCATAAGAATGAGCTGGATCTGTTAGCGTTAGCAATGCTTACCTGTTAGCAGCTAGGGCCTCCAGCTGGCAATGCAAGATTTCTCCAGTCTTGGCTTTCATGAGAGCCTCCAGGTTCTCTTCCAGAACTTTCTTTTGTCTCTGAACTTGTCGAAGAACCTGACCAGCCTCTTCGAGCACAGATGAACCCACAGGCCTGGAGTGAACAGAAGGGGACTGATTTTCTCGATGGAAAAGGCTGTGAGGAGATGGAAAACGATTTTGCTGGGATTTTGTTGTTTGTTGGAACTGTAGATTTTGGAACTGGTTTTGGTGGCACTGCAAGTGTTGGTCCTGTAAAGCTTGAAATGGGACGTAGTTGTTTTGAGAATTGTTTTGGGGGAGATGGTTTTGAAGAGAGTGGGATTGTTGGACCCGGTTTTGATGGGTTTGAACTTGGCCTGGGGTTCCTTTGTGTTGCTGGACCTGTTGGGGGTCTGGAGCAGTCTTGGGGAATTGTGGCGAGTCTTCTGGCTGTAGGATGACACAGTGTTTCTCTTTCACATTCATTGTGGACTTTTTAAGTCAATACTCTGAAACGGCTTAACTTTTAGTGCAGGTTTTCCATTAGTATATACTCAGCTCTGCACGGCTGTACAAGACTAGGCACCACTCGGCTTAGGTGGTTTTCAAATACAAAAAAGGGCCAAACAGAAAGACAGGCCACCGGCCCAAGATGTAATTTATACATGAAACAAGCATGACACAAGGGAAAGCCCCTTAGAAATGCAAAAATCCCATGTAGAGCCGTGCCATGCTGAGTTGGCACTCCTGGAAAAGCACCATAAGTGTTTCAGCCATCCATGTTAGATGGTTGTATATAGTGCTTACAGTTAGCAGCTTCTTCATCTCATTATTCAGACGCCCCATCTTCTTCAGCATCTCATTGGCTTGTCTCACTGCCTCCTGGCTGTGACAGGCCACAGATGGTGGGTGAGAGGATTCAGCCATGGGTTTATTTTGCCGACACGAATCGTCCCTGAAAAAAGAATAAAGAAAAGATTACAACAAAAGAACCCTGAATGTAACCGAGGCCTGGTCTGGAAATTGGCTCCTGGCCTCTGGGAACCAGAGCTTCGCCTTACAAAATCTGCCGCCATGACAACCAGACAGTGGATGGATACATTGACGTTCACGTGGGGCTTTGCATTGATCATCTATGGTTGAATGTGGACATGTAGAGGACGGAACAAGAGTCAGAACCTTGAACGCAAACCTTGAGGTGTAGCTGTGATTTAGAAAAGGCAAATTCTGTGTTGGTGAGGGTATGCATGGTTTTTATAAATCAGGATTTTTTTTTTAGGCATATATAAACATAGATCCTATGCAATCTTTTATGAATGAGACCCTAGGTCTATTACATTACTGGTCTGTTCATATATATATATACCGTATATACACTTTAAACGTATCCAGTGTTCCATTTTCCATTCTCTTTCTTCTAATGGTAAGGTGTAGTTAGATCTTCTGTCTGGCAACTAGAAGCCTTCTTTGTGGTATGTCGAATTGTAATTTTGTTTCAAAAGTGCAGATGTGACGAGATCCAGCAGAGGGTTTCTCCTTACACCTGGTTCACATCAGCTTGGCGCAGTGCTACAGAGAAAACAAGCTCTGCATCAATGTGAAGAAGACCCAGGAGACGGTGGTGGATTTCAAACGGGACAAGCGCCCACTCCCTCCCCTGCACATCAGAGGAGCAGCAGTGGAGGTGGTCTCCAGCTTCATGTGCCTGGGTGTGCACATATCCAATGACCTCGCCTGGAGTGCCAACACTTCCTGTATGGTCAGGAAGGCCTGGCAGGAGCTTCTACCACTGTGTGGAGGAGAGCGTCCTATGCAGAGGATATATATATATATATATATATATATATGCCCATAAATATTTTTTTCTCTAACTTGTTGTTTTTAACTACTTTCTCTTTTTAATACTTATTCAATGGTTCCTTAACCGGGACCTGAGTGCTCATTTCATTCCACAAACTTGTAAATGTGAGCTGGAAACACAATCAAATTTGAATCCGTGAATATTTATATGCCCTTACACACACTTAGTGTCAGTTGGATAAAACTAGTGTTTCTCAACCCTGGTCTCACTGTCCTGCATGTTTACCAAGTGTCCCAGTTCCAGCACACCTGATTCACATAAATATGTCGTTATCATTCTCCTGCAGCACTGAGGAGCTGATCCATTATCTGAATCAGGTGTGCTGGGGGGGGGCAACATGGTAAACATGTAGGACTGTGGGTCCTGAGGACCAGGGCTGAGAAACTACTTATAGCTTACACTATAAGCTATAGGAACCTGTCCAGGCCCGAAGTTTCTGCTTCTAAATTCTAAATGCATCTTTAAAGATAACAAATGCTGTGAATTGTATAAGTAAATTTTAATTGACTAAAGGGAAACTTGACAAATACAAGTCAATGTAAAATGTATCTGTGCGTGTATGTTAACGAGAGGCACGGGTGAGATTAAAATGGCGGCCATTATCAACCCCTGCTCAGGCATTTACCAGTTCAGGAAAGACCACGAATGCCTGCTGTTGCTAGGCAACATCAGAGTGGTTTTAGGTGGTGACAGTGAGCAGGGACACTCGTGGAGGATAGTAGCCTCTGTTCAGGGACAAAAGCCGAGCACATCCCACCGTCTTCTCCTGTGAGCCTTCCTCTCACCTCCGCTTCTCTCTTTTTTTTCTCTCATCTGTATTTATATGAGAAAGGAAGCCCTTTCCATCTCTGACAGATGTAATACATCTATTTAACCATTGACCATTTATGCAGTTGACTATTTCTGAGGGTGTACCTTTGGCTCTTTAGAAAGCGTCTCCTACCCTAACTCTTACTCTGTACCTCCCTCTATCTTCTAGTCTTTTTAACTACTTTACAATACGTGTCACATCCACCCGTTCACACACACACACACACCAGCGGATGCAGCAGCAGGCATGATGGGCTCCATTGTCTTGGCACGGAAAATTATGGCAAATGTTACAGGAGCTAGGAGTCAAACCACTGACCTGATTTTCAGATGACTGCTGATTTAAACAAATCAATAGAGATTACACAAGTCTTAACAATGTGTATATCTCTATATGTATCCTTTATCTGAACACACCATACAGGCGGCCTCTGAGGACCCTTAATGTAAAATGGTACCAAATAACAGACCTGATCCATTCTGGCCAGCGAAAAAGCTAAATTATTGGGCAGAGCGTAGAAAATGTACAGTAAAGAGATAAGCTCATGTAATATTAGAGTATACAAACAAATATTTTCCAAAAGATCAGAGCTATCAGGATTCTTTTGAGACATTTACTTTTATCCAAAGCAGCTGTTAGTACAGTTACAAAACCGGGCAAAAACGCAAATCATTACATCTATTTTGTTGAGAATTTATTTGAGGACTTATTATTTCATATAAACGAATGATAATTAAGGAGTTAAAAACACACAGTTTTTAACACACAGTTCATACGTTAAACGTGATTAAATTTAAATTTGCTCACTTTGTGCTGCTTCTATTAAAATTAATAAGACAACAAACAAATAATTTGCATTTTAAATAAAAAGCCAGCATGTGGAAACACCTGAGTGGCAACTTCACTGTCACTATGAGTGGCTCAGTATTTTTGTCCTGTAAATGTGCTCAGTGTGGGACTGACACACTGGGGGAGTATGGTGAAAGCGATAGGAGGAGGTGGATGGCACACATCCACATCTGGAGTCCCGATCATCACGCATTAAATGTGGAGCACTGAGGCTTCAGGCTCCGGACCAACCCGTCATTCAAAATGCAAATGACTTTCACTGGAACTAATTAATGAGCCCTATAAATCAGCTTACTACATTTGGAGGAGGGCCTCTTAACTTTAACGGTCTTGGGGCCCAAATTCTCTATTACAAAGTAGTCTAGGTCCATTGAGGTATTATGTCTGGGTCTGATTTTTCTACTACGTGTCTTTAATAACTCAGCATTTTCCTTCATGAATTGGGTTTTTAACCAGGATGTGGTATCCATGGCAACCACATCCTGCATGGTAACAGAGGAGGAGTTGAACTTGAGTTGTGAAGTTGAGCACAGGAGAGATGAGAACAGGCTATTATGGGATGCTAAGTAACCACAGTAATGTCCCTAAACTTGGCTTGTTGGGTTTAACCTGTGTGGGGCCTCCCATCCTAAAACAAGCTGTGTTGCTACAGCGAAAACATGATTTAATGTATGTTCTCTAGCTAAGAATAACACATTTAATCAAAAACATTTGAGCTTATTCAGTTCAGTTCTTACCAGACCCTATTGGCTGCCGCATCTCCACAGGGATGTGCTTTATATCAGCTGACTGTGAAGTTCCGTTGATTCTGCTAAGAAGCTCATTAAAAGATAAGTAAATGTCTGAAAATATTTCAGTACAAAGTTCTGTATCATCTGTAGGATCATAAAGAAATGTCCCACTGTTTTAAAAAAGTTTGTACCAGTGGAATTTATTACAACTGACTCAGCCCTAAGGCACATTACAAAGTGTTTGTTTCATTAACTGACACGACAGAACAGGACAGCAAAGAAAAAGAAACAAACCCAATGTGAAAACGCTTTTAAAAACACCATCAAAAATGACTTTAAATATCAAAGTACTTCAGAAAACAAAAACAAAAAAACGGCAGGTAAAAATGTGAAGAGTCTGACTGTCACGGTCCCACTCTCAAACTTGTACACGGCACTGTTCACACCTCTTTGAAAACACAGACACCATTTTACATTGTTAGGACGACTCCCCCTTAGACATATAGATGGAAAACATTTCGAAGTTTGACTTAAGGTCTCTGCTACAAGCTTCTGTCTGACAGAAGGCTTCACTGAAATGAGTCAGTGGAAGGAAGACTGCGTTCCTGTGCACTTATTTCCTCACACTGATGCACTCGACCTATGCTTATGGATGTTGACATTTTTGGTTATAAGCTACACTTCAGAATAATTGGGATTCTTAAAATGAGATAATCATATTAGGTACACACGATACAGGATTGTATAAAACAGATTTTCAAGCCGTTGAAAAAAGTATTTTGAAACATTTCTGTGCCAAACAAAGTCACTTAAATTAAGAAGATTAGGCAAAGCTTTGTGTTACAAAATGACGCTAATACAAAACAGAACACGTGTATAATCATCATGTGTGCAATAACAGCATATTTGTACATATTCAGAGTCACAAAAAAGAGGTTAGGCGTGATAGATGATGTATAATTCAACCGATACAAAAAAAGGAGTGCACACTACTCCGAACATTAGGTTTTATAGTTTGGTTTAAAAAATCAAAATTGACTAATTGTTCACACTTCGTGTGAAGCACTCAAAAACTACGCTTTTAAAGATGTGCGACTCATCACACAAGGCATTCCAATCATCTTGTGTTTTCCCAAATTTCAGTCTGGACAACAGCTTTCACGAGAAACA